TAATAAAGTTGATTTCAAATTTATATTTAGGCAAGGTATGACAAAAAATGATAGTGAACAGCATAACGAAGATAGTGAACAACATAACGAAGATAACGAAGATAACGAAGATAGTGAACAGTATAGCGAAGATAGTGAACAGTACTACGAAGATAGTGAACAGTACAACGAAGATAGTGAACAGTATAATGAAGATAGTAAACAGCATAAAGAAAATTTGGAAATGAAAATAGTCAGTATGACTGACCAGTTATTGATTCTGACTGAATTAATTTCAAAATACCGTTCAGGAACTGATGTTGTTAGCAAAGCTATTTCGACAAAATTACGCCAACAAATTTACGGTGTGCTTGGAAATCGTGGATTTTCTAATATGGGAGATAAAGAACATCCCTTAATTGTAACATTAAGATCTGAAATAACTAGCTTAATGAATCGTTATAGAAAAATTACTAGTAATGAGAAACTATTAGCGTTAGAGGACAAAACTTTAATTAATACTATAATCAGACAAGTTATCAACATATTCTTTTTTAGATTAAAAGTTCAAGAACCCGTTGCTGAATGGAAATTCTTTGAAAACAGGTCAAGTATTAATACTATCATGATGGAGGGTTCTTGGGACAGTAATGTTTTAGAAGAAATATGTGTTGATATCTGTTCGTTTCCAGTAATTGGTTCTAATCTTTGTGAAGCTAACAAAGATAATAAAAATATGAAAGTAATCTTTCCTGCACAAATTATTTCTAAAGATATTCCAATCACCAAGAATGTTAATAGATCAAACAATAGCAGAGCTGAGAAAAACCAAACGAAGGGGATCGGTAATAGCAAGTACAAAAGCGTGAAATCAAGTAATATTACAAATCAAACAAGCAGTATAATTAATACTAAGAATGCTGGACGCGAAAAATATGCGAAGTTCCGAGATGATACTAATCAACAAATTGGTGTGTCAAACACAGAGGAAGGTTATCAATATGTGACAAAGAAGAAGAGTCGGAAAAATGGAAAACGAGATACAGCATGATATAACAAAAATAAAATTCTTCAATAGAAATGTTAGCTAATAGCATAACTGTGTGCTTCGTAATACTCAAAATTTTCATATCTCAATCAAGACAAACATCAATAGGTTATATATTAAAGGATTAATATTGTGAAGAAGGAATTAAGGACGGAAAATCGTGATAAATAACGTGATTAAATATTCAAGTCGCGTTCCTTCCGAAACACGAATGGTGGGACAAGTCGCATCTGTTGCATCCGTTACATGTATCGCATGCGACGCAAGCGACACATATAACGAATGCACATATGCGTAATATATGGGATGTAGGAATAAATATAACATGTATCGTTAAAAAATCAA